GAGGAGGAGGAGGAGGAGGAGGAGGAGGAGGAAGAGGAGGAGGAGGAGGGAGCCCAGACTAGATCTCTAGTCTACTCTAGGTCTTGATCCAAGCTACTCACTGTCCTTGCTAGGAGGCAGAACAGATCATCTCAGCCAGGGAAAGAGAGGGATGCAGTATTCAGGGACAGGGGCCTGAGCTAGTCACTGAAGACCTTTTTGCATCTGGCCTAGCTCATGTGGCTGGCCTGGCAAAGGACCTGCTGAGCCCACTGCACCTTCCTCCAGCAAGGAGTCTCCTCCCCAGACAGGTAAACATGGGAGCCTCCTTCCTTCCTCCCTATCACCCCCACACGGAGAGGCAGGCCCACATGCCACCCTTCTCTGCCACCTACAGACCTACAGCCTCATCCTCAAGGTTCCAGAACAAACCATGGGGAACAGAGAGAAGCAGGTCTGTTTTCCATCAAGTGCCTTTCAGATGGAGCTGGGCTCTCCAGATGCCCTGGGCATTTGTTCAACCCTTGACCTTTTTAGGGTGAGGAGCAGAGGTCTGCTTGCTGAGTCTGTCACTAGTTGGCTGTGGGGAGATGGCTCCCCTGATTTCACTCACACTGGCCAAGAGAAAGAGAGAGCCCTGGGAACAACAGAAAGCAGGAGGTCCTGAGCCCCCTTGACAGTGAGGGCCCTGTGGTGGCATGGTTGGGCATCTGCATGACCAGAGTGGCCTGGTTCAGGAGGTGAGGAGAGCGGGTTGGGAGGGGAGGCAGACTTGCTGGGGCCAAGTACTGAGGATAGGAGAAGGCTATGCTGTCACTTGTGGACTCAGGGGAGAATGTGCAAGCCTGGGTTAGGCTGAAGACCAAGGACAGTCCTAGGAGTCCCTCCTCATCCCTGAATAAGAGAGCAGAGGGTACCAGAAAACACTGCCATCCCTTCCCCCAGTGCCTGGGGACGCCCCAGCTGGAGATCTGGGCTCCCTCGACCTGAGGACAGATCCCTTCACCAGGCTGCAGCTATCTGCCACACTGCGTGCTCCCAGGAAGACCCGGGCCTTCCCTGCCCTGCAGGCATCGACCAGGGCCCAGCGAGGCCGCTACTGCTGCCATCGCTGAGCACCAGCTGTTTTCCCCAACCTGGGCAGGCGCCCGCCAGGCTTTGTTTGCATTGAGTCAGCCGAGGCTGTGTGTCCAGGACCCGTGGACACCGAGGGGCAGGGAAGAGAATGGAAAGACGGATAGGGAGGTGGGAGCAGGGACAGGCTGACGATGCGAGGCTGTGGGGCAGGGGGGTGGCGGGACAGGGGGCGGATAGCGTTGTCACCGGCTCGGGGTAGGCACACGTCAGCCTAAGGTGGCAGCGGCAGCGGCGGGGAGAGGTGTTCCCGGGATAGGAGAGTAGGGTGGGCTCCCAGGACCGAGGATGGAGCCCCGAGGTAGAAGAGAAAGGGTCCCGTTCCCACGCTGGCCTCAGCATCACCCTCTGGACCAGTCGGTCACCCATCCTCAGCGAACCAAGTTCACCCAGCCCCGGCCCTGCCCAACCCCCAGCCAGGCAGGTGGATGGAGAGGTTGGGGTCCCCCCGGCGCACCTGCGTCTTCGTGGTCAGCTGGATCACCGCCTTCCGGAAGTTCAGCTTGGAGTCTGCTGACCCCATATCGATGGAGCCGGCTCCAGCCGGTCCGCCGCTCCGACTCTCGAGCGGGTTCTGGCTCCTCTGGCTCCAGCTCCGCGGCCCCCGCGGCTCTCGTTGTAGCCGAGCTGCGAACTCCGCCTGCTGCGCGGCGTCGGCCCCGCCCCCGGGGCTCCTCCCTTAGACCCGCCCCCACGAAGCCGCGCCCCTGCACCTGCCGCCTGAGCGGCGGGAGAGGCCTCGGAAGTCCCCACTGGGTGAGAACTGGGTGCCCCGGTCCGTCCTTCTGCATCCGAGCGCTGTCCCCGCTCCATCTCCCTCGCTGTCACTCAGTCCCCAAGACCCGAAACCCTCTGGCACCTCGTCCCCGCCCCCACCTTCATCCTTCATCCCTGCTCCATCTCTGGGCCCTTAGTTTCCTCCTTTTCCAATCAATCTTCCCATTATTATTTTTTTTTCTCCTGAGCATTGATTCTCTTGGTTCCTCTTTCTGACTTGTTAGTCCACGTGTCCAGCTAAAGGCTCAGCCCTTGCTGCAGTGGGAGGAAGGGCTGACTCAGTGTCTCCGCTCCGGGAAAGAAGCTTTGCACCTTGATGGAAGAGGGATATCCCTCGGGTCTCCACCCTTATCTGCCCCCCTGACTTCCCTGAGAATCCTTTTTTTTTTTTTTTCTCCTGAGCATTGATTCTCTTGGTTCCTCTTTCTGACTTGTTAGTCCACGTGTCCAGCTAAAGGCTCAGCCCTTGCTGCAGTGGGAGGAAGGGCTGACTCAGTGCCTCCGCTCCGGGAAAGAAGCTTTGCACCTTGACCCTCGGGTCTCCACCCTTATCTGCCCCCCTGACCTTCCCTGAGAATCCTTTTTTTTTTTTTTTTTTTGAGACATGGTCTCCCTGTAGCCCCAGTGTGCCTGGAACTCGCTATGTAGACCAGGCAGGCTGGCCTCAAACTCACAGAGTTTATCTATCCTAGACTGACCTCAAACTCCCTGTGTATTTGAGTATAACTTTAAACTTTTTAATATTTTTTTTTTGGTCTTTTTGAGACAGGGTCTCCATATAGCCCTAGCTGGCCTGGATTCGCTATGGAGACCAGGCTGGCCTCGAACTCACAGAGATCCACCTGCCTCTGCCTCCCCAGTGCTGGGATTAAAGGCGTGTACCACCACATCCGGCCAACTTTAAACTTTTAAAAATTTTATTTACTATTTTTATTTTATGTGTATGAGCGTATTGCCTGGTGGTTGGACAGTTGGTATGGACAGTTGTTAGCTGCCAGTGCGGGTGCTGGGAATTGAACCCTGGTCCTCTGCAAGAGTAGCCAGTACTCTTAATCTCTGAGCCATCTCTCCAGCCCTCCAAATTTGAACTTTTGATCCACCTCACAAGTGCCAGGATTAGAGGTGTGCACCACCACCACCATGCTTGGTTTTATGAAGTGCTGGGGATTGAACTCAGTTTTGTGCAGGCCAGGCAAGAACTCTTAATTGTTAAACTGGTTATAATAAATGGTTATAGTGGCATACACCTGTACTTGGGAGGTGGAGGCAGGAAGATGAGAAGTTCCTCGTCATCCTTGGATACTTGATGTATTTGAGGCCAACCTGGAACAAAGAAGCAGCAGCAGACTAAGTCCAGGTCCCACAATAGGCAACACTTTTTGCACAGCATCATCTTGCTTCCTATGCCTGGAGGCTTCCAGGATGCTTCCAAATGAGGTGATGTTTAGTTCAAGCAGGAGCCCTGCAGTTGAAAAATGAGAAGTGTATCATCAAGGCAGATGCAGGAGGGGGCAGGTGTGTCACCATTTCACCGAACAGGTCACAAGCATTGGGGAGCTCTAGCTTTTCTCCAGAGATGCGCTGTCCCTGCCTTGGACAATATCCCAGCTTGGGTTTTTTTGTTATCACTCCCAAGATAATTACTGAATAGTTTCTTAATTTGGCATTAAAAAAATCTAGTTCATTCTATGAGGCACTCAAATCCAGGCCAGGTCATAATGATATTAAAAACTCTCAGCTGAGCATGCCTTTTAGTCCCAGCACTTGGGAGGCAGAGGCAGGCGGATCTCTCTGAGTTCAAGGCCAGTCTGGTATCCATAGTGATCTAGGCCGGCTGTGGCTATAGGGAGACCCTGTCTCAAAATGACCAAAAACAAAACAAAACAAGCAAAAAACCCAAAACTCTCAAATTTCTGTAGACACTCTGTGGACCAGAGCACGCTGCAACAATGCCACTGGACTGTGGCCTCTGAGGGGAGCCCCAGAATCAGGCCACCAAACTCTCCAGCTTGTCCTTAGATAACAAGAAGTTAATCTGCCACTGTAGCTCAGTTGGTTAGTGGGATCAGCTATTAACTGAAAGGAAATGTTTTTGTTTGTTTTCAGGGTCTCTTGTAGACCAGGATTGATTCAAACTCCTTATGTAGCTGAATCTGGCCTTGAACTTCTGATCCGCCTGCCTCTGCCTCCCTAGTGTTGGGATAACAGGTGTGAGCCACCCTTCCCAGCTATAATGCACTGTATTATCATTTATAGACATTCTGGAAACAGCAGGACTGTAGGAACAGAAAACAGATCAGCGGTTGCCATGGGCTAGAAGTGGAATGAATGGACTGAGAAAAGGAATGAGGGAACTTTGTAGGGCAATGAAAACCTTCTGTTTGATTGTTCACATAACTCCATGCCTAAAGAGAGTGAACTTTACAGTATGTAAATTGCACCTCAATAAACTTGACTTTAAAAAAGAAGGAAAATGGGTTAGGTATGTAGCTCCATTGGTAGACTCCTTGCTTAGCATGCATGAGGTCCTGGGTTTCATCCTGAGTCCTGCAAAAATAAAGAAAAAAAAGCTGTGGTAGCAATTAAATTATAGACTATTATTGTGAATATGTGAAAACTTTTATAGTAAACATTTAAAGAAAAATCTGTGTGCATGAATGTATTATCACTAAATAAAACAGAATTTTTGAACACATAAAAAATCACTTCTCCCTTATCAATGTGACAACCCCCCACCCCCAGCAGATCCTTGGCTATAACAAAGCATACCATACCCTCATTTTGTGCCCAGCATAAAAGACTTGCTGGTATATGGCTCCCATGGCCCTCCTTGGAGCCCTTTCTCTGAGCTCAACCATCACGCATCCAACAAACATTGACTCAGCACCTGCTAAGTATCAAATACCACTGGAGAGGCTAGGGCCTAAGCTATGACGGCAAATTCATGCTGCCAAGAGAACAGGGCACAAAGGGTAACAATATAAGCTAGAGAGCTATGGTTGAAAGTAGATGTCTGCCCAGTGCTCTAGTGGAAACAGGTAAGGAAAAACTGGACAGAGTAGGGAAACTCAGAGGATAACTGAGCATATCAGTCAGGGCCCCAACTGGAAACAGGTGAGACACTCAGCGTAGACAAAGAGCAATTACTCAAGAGGCTATTCATGGAAAGCATTGTGGGGCTAGAAGCAATAGGTTGCTGAGGCCCCCAAGGGCAAGGAAAGGAACGGTTGCCAGAACCCAGAGAAAGGGAGCCCACCATGGGAGAAGTCCAACAGATAATGTTGTCTGAAGAGAGGGAAAGATGGAACAGGCACCGCACTTCACGCCTTTTTCCTCCAACTTCCTGCCCATCAAGTAGACTCACAGAAAGCAAGAGAAGAAGGGGCCCACTGATGGAACCCAGGAAAGCTCAGCCAGCCAGGTGTGGAGCAGAGTAGAGGAGATGGAAAGAAAGCCACACAGGTAAATGCAAAAGTTTCCAGCATCCAGTTATTAGAGAGAGAAAGCAGAAGGATGGCCCAGATCATACTGAGCCTAGCACACATCCTGGGATCAGAAACATCTGGTGGGAGGAAATATAGAGCGTGAAGAGAGATAAAAGTTTAAGACACAGATCGTGAGCAAACCATAAAGGGCTACATACAACCTGATAAGAAGCTTTAATCTTATTCCATGACCAATAAAAAGCCTTTAAAGTAGGGCCGGGCGTGGTGGCGCACGCCTTTAATCCCAGCACTCAGGAGGCAGAGGCCTGCGGATCTCTGTGAGCTCAAGGCCAGCCTGGTCTACATAGTGAGTTCCAGGCCAGCTGGGGCTACAGGGAGACCCTGTCTCAAAAAGGCAAAAAAAAAAAAAAAAAGCCTTTAAAGTAGAGGAATGATGTCATCAGATGATATTAGGTCTTAGGGAGTTGTCCTGGCTGAGGCAAGAGAGACAAAGTAACCTGAACACAGAGAGGAAGCAGGGAGGTAGGTGTTGATAGGGATGAACAAGGCAGTGACAGGTAGGATGTAGATGAAGATGCATTTGAAACCTGGAACTTGGTTTTCAGTCTAATGAGCATTTTAGGGAGTATCACCATGAATCAACCTCCCCACCAAATGATGTAATACAGCAACCATTTTTACTTCATAAATTCCCTGGGTTAGCGATCCAATTGCGATGCAGACAAACCGCTGCTGGTCTCTGCTTCTTGATGTCTGAATCTCAGCTGGGAAGATTAGAATGGCTGGGGCAGTGTTGACTCAGAACAGCTGGGGGCTAGAACTATCTGGGGGCTGCTTCCTGCATGCACCTGGCTCCTGGGCTGGAAGAACTTCAAAGGCTGGATTCAGTTGGGTCTAACAATAAAGTAGACCCACAGCAAGGGCCCTTGCAGCAAGGACACCAAGCTGAGAAGGAGCATCCCAAAATATATGTACAAAGGACAGTGTTCCCAGAGAACCAGGGAGAACTGCATGGCCCTTCAGTCCTAGTGGGTAAAGAATTTACAAACTACTTACACGTTAATTGCATTGGCCAGTAGTCATAAGACCACTGGATTCCAGGAAAGGGGACAGGGTACCTAGATCGTACCTGTCCATGAAAGGACAACAAATTTAGTAGTTTATCTAACTTTTAAAAATATTTTATTTATTATTATTTCTATTTTTTGTGTATGAGTGTATTGCTTGCATGTATGTGAGTGTAGCCATGTCATGCAGTCAGAAGGTCAGAAGAGGGCGTCGAATCCCATGGAAGTTATGGATGGTTGTTAACTGCCATGTGGGTGCTGGGAACTGAACCCGGGTCCTCTGCAAGAGCAGCCAGTGCTCTTTACTGCTGAGCCATCTTTCCAGCCCCCTATATATTTATTTTTAAAGGTTTTTTAATTCATTTATTTTTATTTTACTATTTTATTTTTTGGCTTTTTTGAGACAGGGTCTCCCTGTAGCCCCAGCTGCCCTGGAACTCACCATGTAGACCAGGCTGGCCTTGAACTCACAGAGATCTGCCTGCCTCTGCCTCCCAAGTGCTGGGATTCAAGGCATGTACCACCACCCTCTAAGTGCATCACATGCATTCAATGCCCCCGGAGGCCAGAAGAGGGCGTCAGATCCCCTGGAACTGAAGTTACAGGTGGTTGTTAGCTGCCATGTTGGTGGTGGGAACTGAACCCAAGTTCTCTGCAAGAGCAGCCAGTACTCTTAACCACTGAGCCATCTCTCCAGCCCCTATTTATTTATTTTTAGGTTTTTCTTTTCTCTTCTCTTTTCCTTTCTTTTGTGAGGTAGGTCTCCTGTAGCCCTAGCTACTCACTATGTAGACCAAGCTGATCTCAGTCTCACAGAGATTTACCTGCTTCTGCCTCCCAAGTGCTGGGACTAAAGGCATGCACCACCATGCCCGGCCTGTTTTTTTTTTAATATTTTATTTATTATTTTTGTTTTATGTGCATGAGTGTCATACCTACATTGTAGGTAAGTACACCCATGTCCTGCAATGCCCACAGAGGGCAGAAGAGGCTGTCGGATCCCTGGAACTGGAATTATGGACAGTTGTTAGCTGCCCTGTAGGTGCTGGGATTCAAACCTGGGTCTTCTGCAAGAACCGTCAGTGTTCTTAACCACTGAGCCATCTCTCCAGCCCCTGGCCTGTTTTTTAAACAGTCTTACTGAGTAGCCCAGGCTGATCTGGAACTCACAGTAATCCTCCCACCTCAGCCTCCCAAGTACTGGGGTTATGGGCATGTACCACCATCTCACTACCATTTTCAATACTTCTGCCTTTTTATTTGTTTTATGCCTGTCTCTACTTTGAAACTGAAGCTTTGCTTGAGTAGGAACCGCATCTGTCTTGTTCCCTGTGTCTCCAGTTCTTATGTTAGTGCACAGCAAGTGCTTGTCCAAAAGAGAGAGAACGGCAACACCTGGCTTTCTGAACAGCCATGGTCTTTCCGCTGGAATCCCAAGACCTGGTATTTCACTTGCCTCCCCAGTCAGAAAGATAAGGTTCAGGCACAGGCCTCCCCAGCCAGCTGCCTCAAGAATCTAACCAGAGAAGAGGTGATGTGGGGCCAAGATCTGCTTCCCAGAATAAATAGTGTATCAGGTAACAGGGCACAGTGGCACACACCTATCATCCTAGCCCCTAGGAGGTAAAGACAGAGGATTAGGAGTTCAAGATCTTCCTCAGCTCCATACTGAGTTGGAAGACAGCCTGTGCCAGATGAAACCCTATCTTGAAACAAAACAAAACAAAACAGGATGGGGATATAGCTCAGTTGTACAGTGCTTGCCTAGCATGCATGAAGCCCTGGATTCAGCCCCCAGCACTGCATACATCAGAAGTGGTGATATATGCCTATAATCCCAGCACTGGGGAGATATGAAATGCAAAGATCAGAAGTTCAAGGTCATCCTTGGCTACAGTTTGAGGCTAGCCCAGGATACATGGGACCCTGTCTCAAAGAAACAGACAGATCGATGTAGACCTTGTAATAAGATGCCAATAGTAAACAGGATAGTTCTGGTTGGTTACTCGTGGCCCAGTCTTGGTTCTAAGCACTTGGCTTGCACTAACTTTTGGAATTCTCTTAACAAACTGAGGGCTGATACTGTCAACCTAAAGGTCACTCCACTCAAGGCCTGTAGGGTTTGAGCTGTAAGAATCTAAGGTAAACACTTCCTGCCCAGAAGGACTGTGAGAAACTGCAACAATTCCCCCTCTCAGAACTGACAGTTTGTGACAAACTCAGATCGGGGGCAGGGAAGGACACCAAATGACCTCACTCATTCAGATTATGGAGTGCCTTACTCTGCCAGGCACTGACCTCATACTGGTAGAAAGGACAGATGGGAGGAAATCATTCAGTGCCATTTGTCCCTCTTATTAGAATGACTCGGTCTGGGGACAGAGAGGGAGGGACACTTGCAGGGATGGTGGGGAATCTGAGGGAAGGATTCCTAGTGTTTCCTGACCCTCTCGCTTCAATCCAAGGTGTGTAGTATATGAGTCTGCAGGCAGAGAGGCCACAGGGATGCGGATGAGGCGCCCTCCCCCTCTCCCAGGGAGACTGGTGTGACTGGGAGCGGCGGGGACCTGCCCACGTCAGCGCTGCCCGCGTGCTCGCCGTCATTTCCGGCCGGCTGTGCTGGGTTGGACGCGGAGGTGGAGGACGAGAGGCAGTGGCGACTGTGAGTGCCAAGTTGTCAGATCGGCTTTCCAGCCTCACTCCTGCTTCTGCATCAAAGCTGTGCTGAAAGGCAAGACCTTCCCTCTGCACGCAGCATCGCAGCATCGCGGTCCACCCGCAGTCAGGATCTGGGCTCACATCCCCAGGATCTGGGTTCACATCTTCAGGATCTGGACTCCCATTCCCAAAATCTGAGTTCCCATCCTCAGGATCAGGGTTCCCATCCCCAGGATCTGAGTTCCCATCCTCAGGATCTGAGTTCCCATCCTCAGGATCCGGGCTCCCATCCTCAGGATCTGAGTTCCCATCCTCAGGATCTGGGCTGGGTTCCCATCCCCAGGATCTGAGTTCCCATCCTCAGGATCTGAGTTCC